GTAAGTGAAGTATGCCTTAGCAACATATAAAACAAGTTACAAAAATATTTATTTTATCATTTTTGTGTAATTTGTTACTTACCATCTGAAAATATTAGTTTTAAATCTCGTTTTTATTAGTTGTACATTGGTTTTCATTTTATAACTCCACATATCGAAATGAAAATCATTTTTTCATTCGTATCTGCGATCTTTTTGGTTGTCCAATAATCCTGCATAGATTAAAAATAAGCTACAGATGTAACTAACATCCTATAGTTACCAAACTAACAAAAGAAGTTTTTTTATTTTATTTTATAACCGTCGTTGAACAGCCGACCCAATTTCATGGGCTTACGACTACTTACGTTCAACTCCGTAGCCTTGTAATTTTGAACCAATCCAGAAGACAAGGAAACTCCTGGAACAGTACCCCCAGAGGTATTGATTTGTTGTGGGAACATGGAGGACTTTGAGACTCGACAGATTTAACGTGCATCAGTCACCATTTACTACACGGGGAGTCTTCGACCGGTGAGGATCGAACCCACGACCTCTTGGATGTGAGCCCAGCGCCCTACCGACCAGGCTATCCCGACCCAACAAAAGAAGTTTGACAAAAGTCATCTATATATAAAGCAATAGTTTGGAATATAAAGCAGAATTATTTGAACTTAAATAATAAGCAATAGTTTTTCTCGCGCAATAGTAATATTTTTACAGTGAATGAAGCTGTAGATAAGTTAGGTTTCTCAAAATTTTTCAGTTTCAAAAATTTATAAAATTTCTCTTTCTAAACAGCTTGAAATTTTCTACCCACTTTTTCAAAAAGCATCGATATCATATTAAGAAGTGAGAAAATTTAATAATTTTATTCTTCCAATTATATATTCCCAATTCTTTTTAAATAAATTGTATTCATTCCAAAGATTTAATGGTAGAATTTCATTGTAATTCGAAATCTATCATGTATATAAATTTATCTGCCTTTGAATAAATAAATTAAAGTAATAATTGTTCTGAAGAAATAGCCCTATGATAAGCTAAGCATTGATTACATTTGTGTGGTGTTTTGTTTCGCTGACCTGTGAGCCAATATAAGTTACTGAGATAGTGTACAACAAAGATAGGCTATCAGCTAACTACCAAAAAAAGAATATGGATTGCATAAAATCCCGAATACTTGATTGCCTCTCTGAATCCTAGCCCTAAATCATATGTCTGAATCATAGTCCTGAATATAAGACTGTTTCTCTGAATACTGGCCTTATATCCTTAGTGCAGGTCTGAACATAACAGTTAGTCAATTCAATTTCAATGGTTAATTCAATTTGCTGTCAATTTCAAGAATGAATGGTAAAGTGCTCGACTTCGCATGCAAGTCGTCGGGCTACCAAAGCAGGGGAGAAATCCCCTCTGCAGAGGATCAAAATTGTGATGGTATGTCTTCGGATCATCCTCGGGGATGTTTCCCAGACCGTCGCCAATAGCCCATTGCGCAGCTCTAGTGCGACGTAAATAAACTACAACAACATCAAGAATGAATGAGCATGGAACAATTTTGGAACCTGTCAATATTTAGAACAGATCGAGGATTAAACAGTTAGTTACCCGTCTCTTCCTAGAACAGATAAAGGCTGAATAACAAGTTCTTGTTAGTATTTAGAGAAGATCGGGGATTGAGCAATAAGTTACCATAGATCGAGGATTGTTGTTGTTGTCTTGTCTATATCAGTGATCAATATTTCCAAAAGTTTGTGGGGTGTGTTAGATAGGATTGAACAGTTAAACTGCCAACCTTTGGGACATATTGAATAATGAATTAGATTAGCATTCCCTAATTTTAAGGTTTAATTGGAGTCTAAACTGTCAACAATAAGTTTTCAAGGACAATTAAAGATAGGTGACTGAACAATGATTCGTCAGTTTTCATGGCAGATCGAGTACTAAATAACTTTGAAAACAGATAAAATACTTTTTTTCCAATGCCCACCTGGAGAAAGACTTTTTCGTCATGCAGGCATCTGAAGGGCAGATTTGTAGGCCACACTTTCAGGGGCACCATAATAGGTGGGCCAACGTTGCTCCCCCAGTAAGAACAGATTGTACAGGGAATGAAAGAACATCCATGCCCTGCCCGGGATTCGAACCTAGAACCTTTCTGATGTAAGGCCAGTTCCCAGCCCGTACACAGGCCGGTAGGAGCAGATAGGAGACTACTCCTGGTTTACTGTTGCATAACTCTTTTAAATTATGAAATATAAAAGCTTTGAAAAGTTAGTAATTATTTAAATCATTGGTCGAAAAAGCTTGTATACCTTATGTGATATGGCCCGGGACTACATGTTGTAGCACGAGTCCCAGTAGCTGGTCCTGTTCCACCTCCAACTAACGTAGTAATACCAGATGCGATAGCATGTTCAACAAGTTGAGGACAGATGAAATGAACATGAGAGTCAATTGCTCCAGCAGTCAGGATTGAACCTTCACCAGCAATGACCTCCGTTGATACCCCTACCACCATGTTTGCATGAACTCCATCCATGACATCGGGGTTTCCTGCTTTTCCAATGCCTCTAATCAAGCCATCCTGAAATGGATTCATTTCAGATCAATAAATAAAATACAAGTTTTATTCAAAAATTGAGAAATGAGTCACGGTATTAAAATTAGAGAAGAGTTCTAGTAGTTTCTTAAGAATACAGTCAGAAACTTACTTCAAAAAAGAAATTATTGAAAACTTGAAACATTTTGCACTGTTACTATTTGAAGCATGTTAACAATTCTGCGGATTTATTTTATGTTATTAAAAAACCTTTTTATGACGTATATTACGCATATATAATGCTTTAATTATGTTTATGAATTGAAAAAATGCAAGGTTATAATCCTGGCAACAATAAAAGGCATTTATCATTTATTATTTTTAAGCGTCCCACACACATAGAAGGACCACAATTTTCAACATTACTTGCATTATTACATGCATATTTCAATAATACTTGCACTTATACTTTCAATTTTTTACTATACATACATGCATTATTGAAATTTTAATTTCAACAATACTTGTATTACAAAATTTTTATACGATGCTCTCATTGTTATTTGGAATTTTAGTGATCTTTGCATTATTATTTACAATTTTCCACAATGCTTGTCTTGTTCCTTCCAATTTCTCTGTATATACATTATTTCTTATAATTTTTAACAATACTTGCATTATTACTTACAGTTTTCAACAATACTTGCACTCAAAATTACGATTTTCAGCAAGTCTTGAAATATTAACGAAAATTTTTCGCAATACTTAAACTGTTAATTGCAATTTTTAATGTTACTATTTGAATTGAAAAAATTTTGCAATGTTACAATGTGAATCGAATTAACAATTCTTCGGATTTATTTTATGTTTGTATATTAAGGCTTTTTGTGATGTATATTACGAATATATAATACTTTTATCATGTTCTTTAATTAAGAAATAACAAGGTTACAATCCTAACAACAATTAAAGTCATTTATCATTTATTATTCAAACGCATCCTACATACTTAGAAGGATGTAACAGCAATTTTCATCAATATTTGCTTTATTACACGCATACAAACTTAAATTTTTAAAATTTTTATTTCACCAATACTCGTATGGTAACAGTTTTCTACGATGCTTGCTTAACGATGTTTTCGTTATTATTATACCCAACTTCAACAATTCGTGCATTATTTACAATTTTCAACAAAGCTTGTCTTGCTGCTTCCAATTTTTCTCATGCAGATGCGATAGCATTAATAGAAAATTAATGGAGAAATAATTTTAATGCTTATCAAAAAATGAAAAACTAAACTATAGAGGACTATTTATTCGTGGAGATAAATTCTAATTACTTGGTGTTCCCTAAAGACCACCTTTAATATTTATTTACAGAATCTTAAACAAATACAAATCCCCATGCACATTGAAAGGAATTCGAAATAATATTTAAAAGAGGAATAAACAAAAAGCACCATCGAAATCTGAGAAATCGTAATATTGAAAGGCAATCTGTATCAATAAATCTGTTTTGATGTTTATTGAACTCATATTGAATTTTGATAGAATTTTTATTTTTATTTTAGATTAAATATTAATTTGTGACCCCTTAACATGTGTATACGTTTTTGTTTTTTGAAAAGGATTATGAAAATACATATTAAGGTTGGTTCTTACAGAACATCCTGTATATATAGCGCGAGAAAGGAGCTCCTTGGAAGGAGTGCTCTTAGTTTTTTCAAATCATTGACGCAAATGTTCTTGAAATTATATTCCAAATTTTAAGTAAATTAACATCAAAAGAGAAAGTGCCTTTATATCAATTCAGTCGACTCTTTTTTTAACAAATTTTATATACGCCAACAAAAAATAATTGTTATTTTAAGCAACGCATTAATCGCATTATTTTAAGCAGCGCATTACTCACATTATTTTAAGCTACGTGTTAATCGTATTATTTTAAGCAACGCATTATTCACATTATTTTAAGCAACGCGTTAATTGTATTATTATAAGCAACGCATTATTTTAAGCAACGCAATCAGAATTAACTGTTTGTTTTGTTTCGCTCAAAATTATCAAATATCAGTTTGCTTGTTTTTTCTATTAAATACATTTTTGCGATCATTTTAAGGCCAGTTTAACCTAATTCTGATCGGTTGTTTAGTTGCTAGATTAATTTTTATGCATCAATATCACGATGTTTGCAAAACAAGAAATTGACACAAACGTTCCGAACACATAGGCTTGAAACATTCAACAATGTTGATAACATAGGTTTCGTACACAGCTGGAAAGAATTAATAATTGGCATCAATTTTGTTATAAAAAAGCTAAAAATTTCCTAATGTTAACTTTCACTATCAAAATAAAAATTCATATCTGCTACCTTCAGATCTAGATATATTTACTTAGAGAAAATAAAATATTCAGGTTTGCTACAAATAACAAAATAAAATAAAACATTTATATTAATATTACTACCACTTTTTAATTTTTTCCAGGTGCATATGAACCATGTAATAGTTTAACTCAAAATTAGCCATTGATTGCCAAGATACAAGAAGCAACCTTAAAGTACCTTAATTCCAACATCCGCTTTGACAATCCCTTGGATAGCATCAATAATTATGCAATTTGTTATGACAGTGTCTAACACTTCATGACTACTTCTCAATGATGCTTGGCCCATTCCTTCTCGAAGTACCTAAAAAGAAGTCAAACATAGTGAACATTCAATAAAAAGGAAATTTAAAATGATAATTCTTACCCATATAAAACATTACATGAAATCTCCTAATGCTTTAAGATAATGTTTCATGACAAGTTATTAAGAAATTGAATTTTGGAGAAATTTTTTACATAGTTTTTAGTGCTACTTATAGAGTTTTAAGTATTTGAAAATGAAGGCGGTGACATATTTATCAGTTTTGCTTTTTAATGCGTTATACGCATAAGAGCACTGCTTCTTGTGCTTTATTTGTTACTTATTCTTTCTTGACTAGAGCCTAGTAACGATAAAAAGTGAAGCAAAAATTGTCCTAGACAATTGGACAAACATTAATTCTTTCTTTCTTTCTTTTTTTACAGATTTGCACGGAAAAAAATTTCTTCTTTATTCTTATTATGGGATTCTTTATTTTATTACCTTTCAACCATTACAAATTAAGATTTCTAGTTTGCAAAGTTGAAATACAGAAAAGGGTACAGCTCTATCCATCCTCGGAAGTTCCTACCTGGGTTTAACCCCATAATTATCTCACACCACCTGCCTTCGATTAATGACCTGCCTACCAGTTCAAATCGACGGCGCATAAAAATTTTAAGCGTGTGCGCCAGAAAAGCGAAATAAAGCCAAATCTGGATGGATGAAACTGATGGCCGCCTTCTTATGAATGACTTGTAAAATAGTCGTCTTCAATGATTTGTAATTACAAAAATGTTGCAGCTAAGAACATGCGAAAAAAATGGCGATGCCGAATGGCGATGCCAAGTACCAGTCAAAATATCTGTACATAAAAAATATTTCTTAATGTGTGTGTGTTTTTTTAAAATTCAGAGCTGCAATGTAAAAATTATTTTGACAATTAAAAATTTTCTTCATACATTTCTAATATGATTAATTATTAATTTTATAGGATGGTCGAATTCTGCTAATTAGCTTCGTGAAAGTTTTCATAAATAATTTTTCTGAATTTAAAGAATTAATTTTTGAAAATTTTAATGTTGAAGTTATAAATGCTGTAAAAAATTAATCCGATATAGGATAAAAAATTAATCCGATCAAAACTATTGTAATTTATCATTTCTTAAAAATGTGAATATTTCTCTTTATCAATAGAATATTTTTATTTTCCGTTTTAAAAATGACAATTTCGATATAAATCTAGATAAATTAAACTGCAACAGGATGAGAAAAATACTATACATAAAGCTGCTTAAATTTTATTTATTTTTTCCCATTTTTCACTTTATTTTTCACTATTTTATTTTTCACTTTAAAAATTCGAAGCAAATAAAATTTAGCGTCAAGAAAATAAAATTTATTGTCAAGACAAGACATTAAAAAGAGCTTTTATTTAGTAAAAAATTGTATGCTTTTTTCCTAGATATGATATTTGCTTGGGAATTTCAAAGAAAAAAAAATCTTGTGTCATGATTGTTTAGTCATATATAACTGCATGAAGTTGTGAATACATATATTTACATGTCATTCTGATCAGAAGTTTCAATAGGCAAAATTTTCCGAATTGAATCTTTTTTAAAATATTGTCATATTTAAGGACCCTGCACACACTAGAGTAATGCAACTTTATTTTTACCTCGACGTTAAAGATATAACTGTGAAATTTTTTTTTAATAATGACTTTTTTAAAAGGCGCGCACATTTGATGCATAAAGGCCTAAAATGTCATCCAATTTCTATACCACGTGTTGAAAACTTTCGATTTGAAACCAATAAGTGATTTCATTTTTTATAACAATATATTAACCAGATTCAAGAAGTTTTATAAAATTGACACTTCATGACTTGTTTTATTACTACTTTATACTTTTTATGATTACTTTATTTATTCAATTTTAAGTTAGATGCTTCCATTGCACACAAGTGATATACGAGTATGTGCCTGTATTATAAATTTTTAAAACAATTTAACAATACAGATATTTACCAAAATTGTCTGAAAAATTAAGTTAAAAAATAATAGTAATAATTAAAAACTTTATGAATTGAATCAGCTCCAAATGTTATTACTTCCTTTTAATTTTGATATATCATTTTACATCATATGTCATATGGTAACCAAATTATATATAGACAGAGCAATATTTTCATCAAAGTCTTAATTTTATATTAAATCCATTTTTTGATGTTATAAAACCTACGAAATACAATTTTCAGTGTCTCACTTAATTCCATCATACCTGTCGTTCTATATACCGGATAATAATAATAATAATCTGAATCAAAATATTTTGGTTTTATTTGATGACCTATATTCTTAATAGCTTCTTTTAATTTTTTTTCTTTGATAGACAATATCAATAGAACTCTTTTGGCATTAAGATTGTTGTTTTTATCATTAATTAACTTAAATAACGAATGAGGAATGATGTTTTATCATCAATTTTCAAATTCATCATATCCAATTTTAAAAGTTCTATAATTAATTTGTTTTTGTTTAGTTTAAGTAAAATGATAAAACTAAATTATTTAGTCAATCAAAAATATATTTAAGTAAAATTGTTAGAATTTTAAAATGTATGTACGAAAAACAAGTTATTTCTTAAGAATAATTTCTGAAAGCTAAAAATATGCAAAAATTATATTAATCATAAAAGTATACACAAAAAATTATATTTTCTTTTAAGATTATGACTGAAAGAGAAAATAGAAGTCCCTGGGCAAAGAAGAACAGGCGATATTTTAAATCAGAAATTTTATTATATTAAATTAAGAAAGACCTCAAGCATAAAAATATACTTCCTCTGAATAAACATTTTTAGTGTTAACCAATTTGGATTTTTAATCCTTAAAATATCACAATGTACTACTATCATAATGTTGAAGTGATCGCCATGTCAAAAACATTGTTCCAATTGTTTAGTCAAAGTTCCAGTCCTTTTATTTTTCTTTTCTCTTTTTTTTTTTCATTTTTCGGTGTATCTGGAACTGTTCAGGGCGGATAAAAAATTCCACTAATTGTAAAACTCTTTCTCCAAAAATTTCATGCGAAACATACTATTATAGATAAGTCATTATTATTTATTATTTAATTTATGCTGGGAAAAGTTTTGTACTGCTGAGCATAAAAAATTTCATGTCATTTTAAATGATGTAATTTCAGGTAACAAAATTTGAACAAAAGCGTCTGAACTGTTACTGAGGACAGAAAATTCATATCGGGATTTTCAGAATATCGGGCTTTGGAAATATTCCCAAACTATTTTGCCGATTTTCGCAATTTTTTTTTTTTCATTTAATAATATAGTTTAAAATAAGATGAATGCTTGCATATTTTACTCTTCTATACATTTGTGACTATTATTAATTAAAATTTAGTAATTATATTTTTTCTTACAAAGTTATATTTTCGATTAAATTTTCTTTGTATAAACCAGTCTTATAACTGTGTGTACAATTTTTTTCAACGTATTAACAACAGTCAACATATTACTTTCAAACCATTAAAATTGAAACGTAATGAAATTCCAATTACTAAAATCAAAGTTGTGTAGGGTGTTTCGCTTTGCTTTCATTTTACAAAAATAGCATTTATACGAAAAGTAATATATAATCTAGGTTTAGAGCTTTAATTCACAGGAAGTAACGCCTACAAAATTGTTTATTATAGATATGTTATTAAACTAAAAACTTAAATTAGTTTATTCTCTAGTTTTTATTTATTAATTTTAAGTGAATGAGGGGCAAAAAATATTTTTACTTGGGCTTGGAAATTAGCTTATATAAATCTTGAACGATTTTTTTCCACTTCAAATAATAGTTTCATGGTTTGAAAAATGACACATTTTGGATTCTCCTAAGATTATTTGTACACTTTATTAGCCTTTAAGTATAACTCTGTAACTACTTGTGCACACTCAATTATTATAAAATTGTTCACGAGAAAATTGATGTTACGCACATAAAAAATTTATAAACATTAATTATTTGAAACAGATATATTTAATAATAACAATATATACAACTAATTTGAAAATATTAAATAGGACAATCGGGACTTGGCATCCCCCCCCCCTAGTCATAAAAAAGTTTGCACGCCACTGATTATTAATCTTGTTCAAATGTATTCTTAATATAAAAAGTAAACAGTCTCTCTTTTTTACTGTGGTAATTTATCTTTCCTGAAAATTAAAATTACATCAATATTGTTTCAAAATGAAATATTCTACAACAATCATGCATACTAATTAATTACAATTATATATTTTTTTTTATGTAATTCTGTACACTGATAATGTTTTTAAAACACAATATTTTACTGTCAAATTTAAACAGTCATATTGTATAAAATTGAGTAGTTTAAAAAATGAAGTAATATTAAAAGTCTACTAAATTATTGTTCCCAAAAATTTGATTGAACTTATATTTTTTAAATATTAATCTTATTAACTATGTTTTATCTTAATTAATTTTAAAAATAGTATGGTGTATGTATACTGTTTCCAAAAAAAAAGACACGATCTTTTTTTCTTTGATGGACTACGAGGCCTGAATTGCTTGAAACTTTTTGAATTTATAAAATCAGATCAGGTTTTTTTAAATTCGTTTTTAGCGCATGCGCAGCCTAAAAGAACTACTTGAAATACTCATATCTTGCGCAGTTTTTGCAATTTTTTTAAAATTTTAAATCAATACATTTGTAATTAATTTTAAATTGCAACAAAAAGTTTGTTTAATTCCATTGAATATTTTTAAAGTTATAGCAAAAAACCATAAAACAAATAATTAGCTTTTTTTTAATAAAAAAACCCATCATATTTCCAGTAATATTTATGCTAGGTTTACGAAATGTTATGCAGTTACTAAAAACAACAATTTAAGTAATTGGTACAAGTTCCAAGCTTATTGCTTGATTTTCTGGCATCTGGCATAGGGTGTTAAAAAACTTGTTATTTTTCATTACTTATTATAGGCTTCTAAAGCCTCCGAAGGCTAAATTTTATTTTTATTTAATTTAAAATTATATCCATGCTTTTTTTTTCTTCTTTTTCTCGAAATTTTCATTTTGGACGCGAGTACTAACACTTGATTTCATGTCAAAAGGTACAAAAACTGAAACATTTTAATAGAACACTGATTTGATGCTGTTAAAAGTTAATATTTGTATCGAAACCGTTTAAAAATATAAACGGTTCAAAAGAAATTTAAACATTTAGTAATTTTAATAGTTTTTTGATAGAAAGTTTAATTTATAAATTTTTCACAAATGAAATTAAATCTTAACAAAATGTGCCGAAAAGAGTAACGAGAATTTTAAAAACAAAATCTTTTTTTTAATCGATTTTTAGGAGGAAACAAAACTAAAATGATTCAGATAGATGCATAGGAGTTGTTAAACGAAGTGATAGTGTAATGAACCATCCAGTAATTAACAAAAAATTGCTGTTTTATGCTCTACACCCGTTTTCTATTCTGATACAAGACCAAGCTGTCTTGTTCTTCAATTCCTCATAAAAATAATAGAGGTACTTTTCATGTTTCAGGATTTTTTTCTCCAAATTTTGAATAATGAAAAAATATCTCCATCTTGATTGCTAAAAATACTATAGTGACAACACGTGGTGGTGTAATCTTTAATGGTTGCTAAAGAAATGTTTCATTCGCCAAATGTTTGGCGATGGACATTTGTTAAAATTCAAGAGTCCCCACTTCCAAGATCTATTCATAACAATACATTTTCCCCTTTGACACATTGATGGATCATATCTATTGTTATGACCCTCTACCTCACCTTCAGGTTGGAAAATCCTAGGATGGACAGAGCACAGCCCACAGAAAAACAGTAGAAAGGCCTTTGTTTTGAAGTAGTATATCCTTAAATTCTGTTTTGTTATAATTATTATCATTATTATTATTATTATTATTGTTATTATTATAAGTTAAATTCAACTCTTTAAGAGGGAAATTCATTTTCCAAACTCATTCACTTAACACAATTTACTAGGCTGTGTATTGCTAAACAACAATTTTATTATAAATTGCTGTATGCTCGCCATTTTAAGTCAATATCACAAACACAACTTAATTTATTTTAACATTGTCAAGGAAAATGTCTACTCAGGTGATAAAAGGAAATGTAGAAAAAAAGAAAAAGTTTCACTTTTTTTACGTGAAATTATTGCACATGCAGTTTTTTTTTTCTTTCTTTTCTTTTTTTCTGAAAGCAATACGGTTACCTTTCCTCCACCAAATTTACACTCATCTCCATAAACGGTGAAATCTTTTTCAATCTTTATAATAAGACTCATGTCTCCTAATCGAACCTATTAAAAGAATGAAATCAAATTTTAACCAATTGACTTTTTGCGATAATAAAAACTAATACATTTATTAAAAACGATCTTTGGGAAGTAACCTGACAAAACCTAAACGTAATACGTTGATTGTAGATGTTAATGATTTTACTAAAAAAATTTGACGATTACATGTTTGTAATGATTAACGACAAAAGCGAAAGGATTGAAAGGTAAGTAAGAGTAGCGTACTTTCCTCAAATTGGTTACGTGATGATCGGATCTCTCAAAACTTATTAAAGAATTAATAAATCAAATGCAACTCTTTTTTAAATTTAGATTTTACATAAAAATTTCAAAATATTTTATTTTTTAAAATTTCAAATGTATTTCATCATACATACAATTTTTTTAAAAAAAATAAGAAGAATTTTTTTTTGAGTTTTCCGTGCTTTAATGCTGCCATCTATGATAAGAATATAGCATTATTTTCTGAAAAAATTTTATTTCTTATTTATTTATTCATTAAAGATTAACCTATTGAAAGAATACCTTATTATATGAATGAATATACATTTACATTTATATAGTACATTTATATAAACGTTGCTGATCTTTATAAATTGTACACATATTTTTATGCATGTTTGATTAAAAGGGAATATATTTTTAGTTCAAACATGGTTTACTAGATGGCAGCAGAAGAAAATGCTTCATTGACTTAAATATATTTACAAACTTCTACTTTTGATGCATTTTCACGATTTCTCACTTAATTCGAATGAGAATGACTTTCAAAAGTTTTCGCTATAGTCAATCTTCAATTCAATACATTACACAAAAAAAAATTTCTGCAAAATAAAAATCATTGAAATTAATTTAATTGATACAAACTATTTCAACTTAAAACCTTAAAACTTACCTTATCTCCGGTCGTCGGACCATAATTACTTAAATAAGAATATCTTGTAATTTGACAAGGTTCCACAGGTAAAATAATGTCCTAAAAATATAGATATCAGTAAGATATATTCAGGTATTAGTAATATGTATAGCAATAATATATAATTTTAAATAAAATTTTATTATATTGAGATTTTTTTAGAGTTTGCCTATAGCAATATATATGATACCCAACATTATCGGTAAATATGATTAACAACAGAAAACAATTTATCTGTTTGATTTGTATAATTTCCAATAAAATATGAATATGATAATCACTATTTACTTGAACTTTGTGTCCAAAACCACGACTTATAACATGCTGCATAATATTAGGCAAAGCGCATTCCTTCATGGGACCATTGCAAAGACTATTGCCTCCAGTAATGATTCTATGAAAATAAAACGTGTTAAAAATTAGTTCCATAATTTCAAAATATTAAAAAAAACTTAGTTATTAATTCAAAAAAGAGAGCTATACTTAGCTCCTCCTATTTCCACTAAAGTGACAGTTTTTGTTTCTCCCGGTTCAAATCTTATTGAAAATCCAGCTGGAATGTCCTAAAACAAAAATTTTAAAAAATTTATGTAAATGTTTAAATTCTTTAAAAAAAACCGAAAGAAAAATTAAGTCTAACTTATAATTAGAAAATCTGATTAACAATTAGAAAATTTTAAAAAATTACATTTTTAGTCATTGAAAAAAAAAATAAATAAAAAATAAGAACTAATAAATGCTAAAAGTTAATCAATTTCTTTTTTTTTTCCTTAGGACTAAAAATCTGAAATCTTTTGGAAAACTTTTAGGACAATTTTTTACGAATGACAGAAAAGACTGTATTTTCGCTTTAATAATAAACTTTCAACTTGAAATAAATAAATATACTTCATCCGTATGTTTTCCATAAAATGCTCGATAACAACAAATCATTTATGAGTAATTTATTTAATTAGCAATTTTTGTTAAAAACAATTAATTCTCACATTTTCTTAATTTAACTTACTTGAGTAATAATAATTATATTTAAATTTTATTTTATTTGTGATAAGTAGGGGAGAGTGGGGTCAATTGTAACAGGGTACGATTGTAACAGAGCAAAAATTTCGAGTGTCGGGTTTTAGATTTGGTTCTTAGGTGGCGCACAAGGTGTATTTAATAAATCTACATGTACACCCCTGCTGGCAACCATTTCTAGGTACTTTTGAAAGAGTTACATCACAAAAGATATTTTCACGCTACGCAAGTAATTTTTTTGGTATTAGA